AATTCTAAGATTAAAGTCAGAATTCTGAGATTAAAGTCAGAATTCTGAGAAAAAAGTCAGAATTCTGACTTTTTCCCCATGTTAAACTGAAATAAAATTTAAAAATCAGTTACCTTCTTTTTTTTTTTTTAGTGGCCCTTCTGTACATATACCTTTTTTTAACGTTGATAGTTTTATGGCTGATATATCTGTTTACATCTCTAAGCTTTCTCTACCAGATTTTTTCCTGAGAAAAACAATTAAGATAAAACTTTAAAAGGTTTATGTATTAAATCACTTGAAAATATGACAGCTTTTACAGAATGGTGATCTTACTCAGACTAGAGAGATTTCATGGTTACAGCGCGCCATACCACATCATTAAATCCTGCATCATTGTTCCCATCCCATTTCCAAATCTTTGTTACATACATAATAAAGATGATAACATTTCATAAACTGTTTAGGAAAACATAAACCTTCACACTTAACAGGAAGGTAATATTAGGGAGTAACAAGCAGATAAATAATAAAAAATAATCCTAACAACTTCCTCTGATTAGGTAATTTTTATTAAAACTACTTTAAAAACACTGTAATGACCAGGATATCAACATAGAAGGAAAAACATGAAGAATGGTGTCAGAAATCTCTCAACATCATGGAATAAACTGAAACAATGAATAGGATTAATCGGGATTAATCGATTATTGAAATAGTCGTCAATTAATTTAGTAATAAATTAATCTTTAATTGGAGTATGGAGACTGTAAAATATGTTTTTATTGTAGCTGACAGAGCAACCCACTTAGAGCAGTAATTATACCAAAATTATAACATTTATAAACATTTTGAATTAGAGATTTTTTTTTAAAATGTCTACATGCTCTATCCAGAACTCCTCAGGTGGAAAAGTTTTAGTTTTACCTGGTTTACTTTCATAAAAAAATTTATTTTCTTTAAGGAATTTTTGGCTATCCGATTAATCAATTAAATAAAAAAAATTATAGAGAGATTAAACAATTGGCCAAATAATCGTTAGCTGCAACCCTAGAATAAACAAACAAACAACAGCCCCCCCTGATGTTGGAACATTAATCAGCGATTAGAAAGACCACCGTTTCATCATTTTTAAAAATAAATATAATTTAATAAATATATAATTTAATCTAAGTGGGACATCCTGTAAAAATAAAGGTAAACGATTAAGTAAATCAATAGATAAACACGTGTAACAATATTTTATACTCAAATATTTTCAGGATTAATAATGATGAATAATTTATGCCAAATCTCCTGCAGATTTTTCAAATATATTACTTTAGCAAAAATATTTAGGCAATTTTTATATTTGTCTAGACATGGGATTGAAACAAGGAAAATACAATTCCACAAGGGAAAATGTAATGCAGGGCTCCTTTAAATTGTTGCTAGAATAAGATTTATCTTTATGCCATTTTCACATGTTGTATTAGTTTGATACAAATCCTTCAAAACATCAGAAAGGTGTGACTTTAGAGAGAAAACTGCTCCATATTATAATGACAAATTCTGTTTTTATTGAAGATTCATCCTCAGTCTGTATAACTACTACATTTTATATCATTTCAAAATAACAGATTTTAACATTGCCGTTAAGAGTAAATCATTTTTGAATTAGAAAAGATGAAGGATACCATGGGATCTTTTCCCATGTTGCTTCTTCATCAATTATTTTTCAATGTTTTTTCTTTTATCTAAACAATTTTATTGTTGCTTCAACATCGAAATGTAGCTTTGATGCATTACTTTAAAATAAACAGTTAAAAACTCTAAAGATTGGTCCGGTTTCTCTCTTCTGTGTGCCTCTTAGATGCACAGACCAGCTTTTAGCACGACTCTGAGGTTTGCACAGCTGGACTGAGCGATCCCAGTAGCAGAGGTGGGCAAGAGGCGGACAAATTAGACCTGTCTACCGCACCTTTTACAAAAGCTTTAGCTGAAATTAGCTCCATAAAGTACATAACCATGTGTGTTAATCATGCATTAAAATAAATTACTGCCATTAAAATAAAAGTGAGCTTTGACAGCCCTGCTGGTGGGCACCATGAGACATACATGAGGGAGGTCTGGGTTTTTTGAGCAAATTCTTCATTTTTTTGTATTGCTTATACCTAAAAAGATGCTTTACAGGTTTTATATTTTAAATATATTATTTTTATTATTGCTTTGATGATTTTAAATGAGCCTGATTTTTTTTGGTTCCACTCCAGTACTTGGTGTCCTATCCACAGGTCATAATATGCATGGGTGCAGCACTAGTACCGGCTGGCAGTTACAGAGCACTAAGTGGATGGTACTGTACCATATATGGCGCGCCTTTACAACATATCCTGGTTAACCCGTACAAATGAACTACATGAAAAGCAGACAGAGGGGGAATAATTTATTTATTACATGGAGTCTCATGGATAGCGCTGAGGCCAGCCTGTGATCTGCAAATAACAGTCATACAGACTGGTGACCCCCTAAAAAGACATATAATATAAAGGTAATTAGATCTATTTCAATCTGAAAAACTCACACGGAGAGAACAATTAGAAGAAATGTATTGATACAATTACTTGGTCTTTGGCGCTCAGACATCGGCAGGAAATACATAGCGCTGAATTTTGATAGATATGCATGAACAAGACTAAAGAACACGGCTGTTTCCCTCAGGCCTGAAACTGGCGGTGAGGTGGTGATAGATGAAGCTGGTCAGTCTGTAGACTGGTGGTTAGCAAGACAGTATGCTGAGCTTTATGGGGGGATACAGTGGACTGCATGAGCTGATGCTAGAGCTTCACTCAGGGACATGGAACATGGAAGTCCAGTTCTGATAACACAGGTTCAGAGAACCTCTCCATGATCAGCAAGCATGCAGCGACAGTGGAGAGGAAATATTCCCTATTGGGAAGAACCTCTGGCAGAACCAGGCTCAACATGGTTGTCTTCTACCGGTTGAAATGAGACGCGAATGCAGTAAGAGTCCTGGAGGAATTTTAGCTAGTTTTAGCTACGAAGGATGGAGGAGGGGCTGGAGGCGGGTTGAAAAGGGGTAATCTGAATTAAGTCACACAGCGCAACCACCGCCTGCGCACAGGAGCAGACGAGTTGCCTTTTAAGATGAACTTTGGATGCTGATTGACTTTCTTGGAGGTGTGGTTCAAAGCTGATTGGCTTTCTTGGAGGTGTGGTTCAAAGCTGATTGGCGGTGTTGTAGGCAGATGAAGGCGAATAATCAGTTTATTCAATTGAACTTCCGCCTATAGGCTCCATTGTTTTAAATAAATTTTTTTTTTCATGATATTTACTTATTTAATTCTCATTTTTAAGGGAAATGTGTTTATTTAATGGGATATTTAATAATTTAATAGTGAATTTATTAATTTTATTTTATATTTAATATTCAATACAAGTGTTAGATAAATAAATTAAAATCACATCTGCTTATTTCATGACATATTGATTTATTTCATGAGATATTTTCATCCTCTATATACCTGAGGGCTCACATCACAATGATTATGACAATCATTTGGGCAGCCCCGGCGGTCCTGACCCCCACTTTGAGAACCCCTGGCTTTTGCCATATGAGCAGCGCCTTAGTCAGGATTATTTTCATTATATTGGGTCACCAATGTGATGCACTGCAGGCAGAACGGGCTTAAAACAGCATTTATGATCTAACATAGGCTACAGTTTTTTTGAGCATCAAAGTTGCTGCAGTTTCTGTGATTTCTACCTCATGAATGGATAATCACCTGAGAAACCTTCAGTTTCTTCAATTACTTTTAAACTGCAGTCTTGCTATCGCAGTGATGGATGATATGCACAACTGCAGCCTGCTGTTTTCCTCCACTTTGCACCAGTCTATCATCTGTCACATTTTTCCACATTTCTATGCAGGATTTTTTTCGCCAAAAATCAAGAGTAGACATTTTTTATTTGAGAGCAGGATTTCCTCTACTTGCACACAAAACTTTCAACTTAAAACTTAAAGCTAAATGTTTAATTTGCAACTAAGTATTTATTTGATGCACAAATCCGCTTGCATATTTTGCATACCCAAAGGGAAAAACAAATAACTTAGGAACTGTAATCCCAAATTACATGTGTGATTCATTATTTGAAAGCTAACACCTTCTAGTTTCTAAATATATACAGGAAAATTGGGTGAGTAAAGCACAGCCCAAGCTGCATCAGTTCAAACATGACTCAAAGTTGCTTTCCTCATTCTCAAAAATGATAGGTCTTTTTTGAACAGCAGTAATAAAGACATGCTTGTTGTTGCTGCTTTCTCATGTTTATATTTTGACATGCTGCTATATCTGTGTTACTTATGCTTTGGTGATCGTTATGTCCATAAAATGAACTTGATGGTTGAATTTCCAACTATGTCTAACATGTCTATATTTATAATTTTACCGGTGTAATTTTCATGCATTCTGAGTTATTAGTTATAAATGCTTTAGAGAGGTCAGACCACCCCGCCCAAAATCAAACTTAATATCACCACTCAGCTGTTAATCCTGCTTGAGAGTGGCCTATAGGAACACAGGTTCACCCATGACAGATTTTTCAAATTTGAGAGAAAAATCCTGAATCGAGAGCAAAGACTTAGGTTCGAGACAAAGAACAAAAATGCTTAGAGAGAAAAATATGTTTTTGGGAGAAACCATTTTCACTCTGATTGCAAAAAAAAAAAGGATAAAACAATATTTGAGAATAAACATATATTTTTGAGAGAGCTTTTCCCCCCCTGAAAATAATTTTCCAAATGTTGATTTATCTTGTATTTATTTTATGACAAAATATTTAATATTTTCTACAGTCTCACATAACATCAGGTTTGCTATCAGTGTTAAAATTAGTTCTCTCCAATAGATTGATTTTATTATTAAAATGATTTTCCCCTTTCAGATTGCTTTTTTTTTATTAATAAAAATTCAAAAATAGCTCCATTGCTCCATTAAAATTGTGTCCCCACTGGTCCTGCTTTAAGCGATTGACGGATATCAGAGAGGAAATGGCACTTTGCTTCATTAGCAGAACTGAACACTGACCTTCATCATCAGCACGACTGTGTTGAGGGCGATTAAAGTCATGATGGCATACTCAAAAGGTGACGACACCACAAACTTCCACATCCTATACTGGAAGGACTGCTTGTTCTCTGGCATGTATCTTGTAAGCGGCCTGGCGTTGATGGCGAAGTCAATGCAAGCCCTCTGTTAAAGGAGAAGACAAAGCAAAAATAGTAATGATCTCTGGTAGAGGTGATGCTTATTTCAAACCCATTGGGTTTCTACGACCGAGATCTTTTGATTTGCAACTGTTATTTTAAGTTAAGAAGTCGCAATAAGCAAGAGGTGAAGAAAAAATTACTTATTCTGTGCATCACACTAAAACGGGGACGTCTGGAGTCTATTTACCAGGACCAGCTTGATCCAGATTTTAATAAGGTAAACATTTCTTGTGCAAACAAACGTTTACCACAATCTGTCCTTTCTGCAGATTCTCTGTCTTTGCCGCAGATACGTGTCTGAATTATATCTGAGGGAGAAAATCACCTCATTTTTTTCCAAGCTGCACTCCGACATAGCCTTGTCTCCTTGTTCCTGGAAGGTGATGATGATCAAAGCTACAAAAATGTTGACAAAAAAGAAAGGAAAGACCACGAAGTAGACCACATAGAAGATGGACGTCTCCATGCGGAAGCCTGGGCTTGGGCCCTGGTCTTCATATGTGGCATCCACAGAGTGCTTCAGAACCCTGTAAGAAAAGCAGATAACTTACTACAGATTATCCAACTTGCACTTAGAAATAAAGCTCGCTTATGGCCTGATTATACATATGCAAACCTTAAAACACTCCCTCTGCTGTTTTCTTTAGCTTTTATTTAGCTATGAAGGACATGTTCTTTAAGAACTCTACTCCAGTGAGATAAAAATGAAACACTAAAAATCAGACCACTATGAAGTCGAATGAATACTCAGTACAGAGATAATCATCTTTCTCAGTCGATAAATAAAGGATTACCCTGTCAGCAGAGGTTTTCTACCACAGCTAAAAAAAGGACTGAGGGACCAAAGAACATATAAGGAGGCGAAAAATTTCTTCAGCATTCCTCATTTCCTCCCTTTATAGGATGTTGTTATTACTGTGAATCGCTTCTGGGGTAAAAGAGCAGGGAGGTGATGCAGAAGCATCTGAACGTAGATAAAAACGCCCATCAATTAATAACAACGCAGACTGGTTTTCCAGGCTCTGAAAGTCTTTTCAGTTTTTCTTTTGTGTTTAGTCAGGTGACTGATGATTTTAAAAGGTTCAATGTTCTTTCTGTTTTGGAATTTTTTTTCCACATTCAAGGAAAACAACCTATATATTGTTAATAATGCAACTTTTTGCCTTTTCGTTTGTCATGATCTGGCCTGTTTGCTCCTCCCTAATTAGTAATTCCTCTCACCTGCCGTTTTCCCTCCCTGCCTCAATTATAATTTATTCCTCTCACCTGTTTCCTCTGGTTTATATTCAGTTCAGCCTGAGCATTCAGTGCCAGATCATTACTTGTCTTTCTGTTAGCCTGTCTATTAGTTTTTTGTTCCTTGGTTCATGTCCTGGATCCTAGCAGCCAGTGGAAAGAGGGTTTTTGTGTTTGTCTCGTCTCCTGATCATCCACTGTTCCTCCCCCATGGAGTCCTCTGGGTTTTGGCTCAATATGTGGGGAGGTTCAGTTTTTATCAAAGT